TTGGGAAAGCAAACAACATCCAACTTTTGCCGCAATGTCGCCATCCAATCTGAGCCACCATACAGTGGAATGAGCCAGTGCCTCCATGTTAGCAACTTCTGGGTTTGCAACGTGAAGCTCGTACAGGATAACTGATCTCAATCTTTTAAGGCCTACAACCTGTGCACCCCACAGTAAACATTCATACTGGAGGCTCAGTTCAGTCATTCTATGGCGAAAAAGTGTAAGTTCTACTGGTGGGCTGTCGGGCCATCCAACCTGAACGTACCGCGTTACAAGCGCTAATAACGGATCTCTATCTGTCTCGTGACGTATATCTGTGGACGTGATCGGAGCGTTGTTGAAGAGCTGAATTAGATTTACAAGTTCTTGCGGAGTAAAGTGTTCTGAAGGAACCTCCGGTAAGGGGAGTAGACTGAGAACGTCAGCGGCGGTATTCTGTCTGCCCGGAATTTACCGAATCTGGTATGTGTAAGCAGATAGAAGGAGGGACCAGCGGATCATTCTGCGGGAGACCATTTGTTGAATTCCTTGTTCGTGCCCAAGGAGCGAGATAAGAGGTTTATGATCTGTGTGAATCACAAAATGTTGACCGAGCAAGTACCGATGGAATCGGTTGATTCCGAAGATGACAGCGGCCGCCTCTTGGTCGAGCTGAGAGTAGTTTCTTTCCACTGCGATTAAGATTAGTGAAGCGTAAGCAACAGGTCGCTGTGAGCCATCAGCTAATTTATGTAGCAAACGGCCCCAAGGCAGTAAGAAGAAGCATCGCAAGTGAGCACATTAGGCTTCCGTGGATCGTAATGTACAAGGACTTCAGTTGACGCCAAAAGTGTCTTTATTACGTTGGAAGCATTATCGTGAACAGCGTTTCATTTCCACGGATGATTCTTACGCACAAGTTGATGAAGCGGATGTAAGTGAGTTGATGCTGCTGGTATGAACCTGAAGAACTGAGTGACTGCTCCTAGAAAGGAGCCTAGTTCGTTTACATTTTTGCGCGCTGGGGCTTTAAGGAATGCCCTGGTTTTCTCTTCTAGCAGTTACAACCCCTCGCGTAAGCGTTTGTAACCCAGGTATTGCACACTTGGTACAAGCAATGCACTACTTGTTTCTTTAGTATCAGCTCAGAGTCTAATGGGCTTTTTAGAACTACATCCAGAGTACGCAGAGGTGCAGCAGTTGTGCGCCCGGTAATTTGGATCTCATCCAGATAGGCACATGTATTTGGTATGTCTTTCACTAATAAGTCTAATTCGTTGAAGTAGGGACGATGCAGTGCTTATTCCGAATGGCATGCGTATGTAGCGGAATAACCCAAGATGTGTGTTGATGGTGGTGAAAGCACGTGAATCCACGTCGAGTTCAATCTGCTGGTAAGCGTGGCTCAGATCCCGTTTGGTAAAAAGTTCGCCACAACAGAGAGGGGAGTAAATCTCATCAATTTCAGGCAGTGGATGTCTATCTGGCTATAGTACTTGGTTGGTTGTAACTTTTTAGTCCCCACAGAGCCTTACCGTACCATCGCTTTTCAATACAGGCACTATAGAGGCAGCCCAATCAGAATACTGGACTTGTTCACTATTACCATCTCTTAGCGGTCGGTGCATCTCAATCTTGACCTTGTCCCGAAGAGCGTAAGGTACGATGCGCGCCTTCCAGAATCTCGGAGTTGCTTGTGGTTTCAGTAGCAATCGGGCTGCGTAATTCTTCAGCAGGTCTGGCTTAGTTTGATCAAAAAGAGGTACGTAATTTTGCATTATCCCAGATAGTTGTAGGCAAGCTTCAATCGTGTTGACGTTTGACATGATGCCCGCAAGTCGTTTAATGCCATCGCAACCAAGTATGTTTGGACCTGGTCCCCCAGAAACGTACACACGGATTCGATCGGTCGAATGGTGGTATGAGATACGTGCAACAATGCTACCCAACATATTCACCATCTGTCAGGTGTATAATCGTAGTTGTGTTATAGGGGATCTAGTTTTGATAGTTGCGACAGGGCATCGGGCCGTATCAACGTACCTGCGGAACCCGTATCAATTTCAAAGACAACAGGTTGTTCGTTTAGCTAGGAAGACACAACGAACGGTTTGTCCGCTATTAAGTTGTGATTAAAAACCGTTGCGGTGTTTATCCAGTTCTGGTTTAAATCTTCAGTAATGTGCTTCTCAGTGTTTGGAGTTCCTCGCACAACGAAACTTCGTTTAGAAAGGCCAACTTTCTGCATATGTCTTCTTTACCCACAAAATCTGCATAATGAGTGAAAACGCTGGCAATCAGCCGGATCAGAATGCTGCCTGCCACAGCGATAACAACAGAATTCTCTGCGCTGTACAGATTGAGACAATGTGTGATCACGCTTTGTTTGAGAGAATTTGTTTGCCTCCTGTGAAACTATCTGATCGGAAGAGGTGACTGCCGTCAGTTCCTGAAATAGATTAAGATGTTTCCGAAATATCCCACAAGCATTTCCCCAAGTAAGAGTTTTTGTCTTCTGCAAAAAGACGCTCGCGTGCTTTGTCGTCAAGTACACCAAAGATCAATGCTTGTAAAAGTATTGCTTCCTCGATTTGTGTTGGCCTGATCTAGTCATAGCCGCAATCAGTAAGGGCAGTAAGAAGTCGAGAAATAAATTCATTTACGGTTTCACTCGGTTGTTTCCTCCTGGTGTTAAATTCGTACCGGGCTGTAAACAGGTCTGGTTTTTCTCCCCCCCCCAGTCGGTCAGGGGAGAAGAGCACAGTTTGTAATTCCTGTTTCGTGTGTAGCTACAAACTATCAAAATCTTGCTGCCCTACGTTACCGAGACGATGACACAGTAATTTCATTTTTGATGTCTGTTCAATTGCATTGTTATTGCCGAAACGCACAAGTAAATCCACGTAATTAGTGAAAGTAGTCTTCCACTGCGTCTATTGCTGCGTCGCTGGCCTTTCCGCGGAACAATTCCAAACGGCTGCGGTGAAGTAATGTAAGTTGCCATAAGTGATCCAAATAACCTCCGTCGCCAATTTGTTACACCGAAACGAATCAGAACGATGACGCGGCAACGAAAGTGTATCGTAAGCAACGGTGCATACAAGAAACCTATAGAAGCAAACAGCAAGCAAGTAACATGAGTGCTGAGTTCAGTGTTCGATCAGGCAGGGGGACTTGACCAATGAGCGTAATGAGAAGAAGGACGAAACACACACGTATTGATGGACCCACACACGCGTGCACATTCACAGTCAGTAGAGGCGACACGGAACACTGACTGAGGGCGCATCACAGTACTGACCTATCTTGTGTCTGGTAACCGCGAAATAGCTCTGTCGAACGGTATGTCAGAGCCACATGCGTAGGTTATAACGAATGAACTACAGGAGATGTCGTTTGTGGAGTACCAGCGAGTCGTTAAACTTACTTCAGAAAGATAGATCCCGTTATAGAACTCCGCGATTCAAATCGATTGAGCGTCTTTTCGAAGCTGTGCACAACATTTGTAGAGACAAATCCACGTTAACAAGGAACAAATAACTATGCGACTGACGCGCAAGCTGTCTTATGTATATGCAGTGTATATAGCCTAAGCACAGCCGGTATGCGGTTCAACAATTAAAAAGTTTATGGACGATGGGTTTTCCGTGAACACTCCGCACATATATGTTGGCACTTTTGAGAAACCAAAATTATGCAAAGCTCCAACCGAAGCCAGCTTTGACACAGAAATTATAATTATAATTATTTAATAATAATAATATATAATAATTTATAATTATAATTTCGAACTACGCAGTCAATATTATTCGATATCATTGGTAATACAGCATAGGGAATGTCAAGCAGAACTATATTTGCAACCACCACACAGTTAGAAAGTAGTACTGCAATACGACGCGTTGCATTTTTGTCCCTTTAGTGACTTAGCTGCAGTAAGTGCGGGAACTGTGATGCAGCCACTTCATGGGACAGCTGGGCATGCACAGTTTGGCCTTCACGTGTCTGCACATTTACATATGCCAAATGGTTGCAAGACAGTTTGCTTAACTTGTGCTATCACTAGTGGCTGTTTCACAAATCCAGTGAAGTTATGTCTAAGAAAAAATGCTCTTGCCCGAATATAAAGTGAACTAACCGAACGGCAATTTAGCAACGCAGTTAAGCAACTATTAATTCGTAGCTTAGTTCCCTGATAAACATAAGTAATACGTTGATACAGCGCAATTCAGATACCGTTTGAGACTATGTCATCCACGAGATGGCGCGGAATTCAAACAGCAAGCGGGTGAGATATGGAAAAATCGCATTCCACGTCTACTTCTCATCGGGAAGCCGTGCACGGGAAAAACAGCCCTGGCCAAACAAATGTGCGCTGCTTGGGGTTGTGAGTTGGTAAACGCCACTGAACTCATCCACTATCATATGAAGTATGACACAGAATTCGGTCAACAAATCAAACAACTTATGCTGAGTGGCAGAGACTTGGACGATGATCTGGTGATTGCCATGATGCAGGCGAAGCTCAGTTCTCCTGAGTGTGCGCAACGTGGCTTTGTCATCGACGACTTCCCCACCTACAGTGAAAAGAGCCTGTCTGTGATAAAACAGCTGGAATTCCTCCAATCCCCTGACAGCAGGCCGGCGAGCACGCCTGAATGTTGGTTGACTGGGAACTGACGGAGGTAAAGCTGGACTTGCTTCTCCCATCCGGAGTACGCCATCCCGTAGATGCCAATGTGTATACATCTTGAATGACATAGCACTCACTGGTGGTCGTCTGATCCTCTAATACCCCACTCATGGTGCACTAACCGATGCATAGTCACAACTGCAAGTGGTTTGCTAACACATCGTATCTTGTATTTACCGTTAACGTAAACTTTGTACTTTTAGGCATCGGAATTGGTACGCTATAATCCAGACAGCGTGTCAACGATTTTTGATTTAACCATTGCCATATAACAGTACATTTACTAATTGAAGTCCATACTGTAATTTGACCCGTAACACCCTAGATGGAAACCGTCCCGGGCAATTGTGATGCGTCGGTTCTGTTCAGCAGTTGGCCACCAGCAGCGTATTGTCAGTGGTATCCCTACTTGTCTCCGTCGTGCGTTCCGGGCGCCATTCAGAGTACAATTACACAAAGCAGAGCGATACAATGTGTTCCTTCTCTCATTCGACCATCCAGTTCGTTCGCTCCACTGACGAGTTACAGTAAAGTGGTAGGTTCTTCATTTCACTTAGTGCTTTTTTGATGCAATTATGCATGCGAATGCAATTGTGGAATGTTTTAGTTACAGAACTAATACAAAGCTATATAGAAGTTTAATGATTAACCGATACTTACTGCTTGAAGTAGCTTGAAACACATGCACCTAAAGTTTGTTTATTCCGGGAATACATATAAACTTGCATGGATAACCAGCCTGAAACATTGGAAAGTGCCATTAAGATTTGGACCAGACAATCCAGAATGCGAATCGATAGGAATGTTTGCGAGAACTTCACTATGAGCTCCAGGGGAAAGCGTCGTCTTTTGCTAACTGTAGAGCAGTTCCAAAGAAAAATCAACGCATACCCTCATATTTTATCCGAAAGCTACGTACAGTTCTTCTTGATGTCACGTAAAACCGACTTCAATATGTTGCGTGTTGAACCCATCATGGTTGGCGGCATCCGGTTTCGGATTTGCTTGTCACTGTGGACAGCCACAGGACGCCTGCTCCTACAGAGGGACCATGGATGGCTTGCGCTGCACCACCCACAGCTCCATCCACACACCCCATATCCAGTGTAAACCCAAAGGAATAAGACTGGGAGGCATGCGGATGGGATCCACGTTTCATCAACGGAGCCGGCCCACACTCCTTCACAGGCAAACACAAGCACGCTGTATTTGGGGAATCAATCGCACACTAGGCGGTGGCTGGACCGTAGTCCGCTCCACACTGAGTGCATGGAACCGCTCTTCGAGCCTAGCACGGCCACAAGGACCGTGCACCCCGTCCCCTCCAGCAACGACCAACAGTCTCATGGAGCCAGTATGAACGATGTAGTGGGTAATAGACAGGTAGGCACCATGTCAACATGCACTTCAAGCGCAGCCACACCTGGGATGTCAAATAACAGCCAATCACTCAAAATGCCCATATCGAATAAAGTAAACGCATATGACGACATGAATACTCGCCAAATGAGCATATAGAAGAAATTGGTTAAAAGTGAATCCGTGATAAGTACAAAATGTCCGAGTTATTTAAAAAATACCACGTGATACAATTACGCAAGTTTACCACAATTTGCATGAGCGACGTGTGCAAGTTGGGAGAAGATTATCAAGTACGCAGAACAAACCAAGTAAAATGTAATGAATTTTATCCACGTAAAGAAGATCTAGCTTAAGTATAAGTTGGTTTAGCCCAACTGCGGTGAAGAAGCATCATGAATGCAACATCAGCCTCATACCATCATCAAATGAGCATGAGTTCAAATCCTCCTAAATTTATCACTGCCGTGATAACGGTGGAGAGTTCTAAGTGCTTGGAACCCTGCACATTAATCCTTCGCCGTATGAGATACGTCTTACTTCATCGCCGTAGATAAAAGGAATTGGTGTTAAGCAATCGATTTTCAACAATCTTTTTCTGTGCTGTGATGGTTTCGATGTAGTTTCCACTAAGCACAATAACCTACGACCGGTTTCGTCGTCATTTGGACCAATCAGTAAGGAATTCGCGGAGTTGGGAGTAGAAATCGTGGGCTGCACTTTGTTAGCATAGCGATCACATGTAGGAACGTATGACAGTACTCATGGCCTTGCTCACTTGATGTCGTGTAATACTCGAAAGCGCGAATAGTCCGACTGGGCCTCGATAACAGATGATGAATTCGACAAGGTGTTCTGTCTCAGAGCCCTGTATGTTTGAACAGTTCTTATGCGACCAACAACAGCTGTTCCATGCTCGCAGGCTAGTAAAACATATCCAAAGGCTGAGCCTACTGTCACCGAAGTGGTTAAATAGCCGCTGCGTAATACACCAAATATCTGTTCCACGGTTTCGTATTGGTATCACGACTTGTCTGTCAGTCAAACTGGAACTGCACTATTTGTCACCATCACACCTTTATGTTTGTCAGTCGCTTCAATGTCTAGTCCACACTACACGGTTCCGCTTGTAGCCAACCCTCTAACTTTTACCATTAGTAGCGCTAAACATTTTCGTGGAGAATTTCGCAATACAGTTCTGTACATCACAGCATTGCCGGTACCCTACAGACCGTGCGTAACCAATTCCATTTGAAGTGGAGTAGAGGTTCCAATTCCATAAGTTGTGTGGGAAGATGAACCCGCATATTTCCATGCAAGGGGAATGAGGTCTGTTCCAAGTAATGGATAATTATCGCACTAGCAATATTAGTATAAAAGCCACCTACTGACCAGTGATCATACAGCATAATCTGCAACATCACCCCCCCCCACTACTTTAGTTCGTGGCGACGGTGGTTCCACACAGTACTACTGAGGGCCTTGCGATCAAAGTCAGTCACACAACAGATAGCCTTGATACAAAGGACGTTTCAGATAATCTTATTGCTCAAGGATGGATTCGCATCCCACCAGTTCACGCTATGAAACTATGGTGCTGAAATGATTGCAATAAAATCAGCAGCTTAACAGACATCGCGACGACTGATCGTGCCTTCCCTGCTAACAATGTTTGGAACAGCTTTTACACGACAATGATCAGAATCGCCACTTTTGGTACCATCTTTTTAGCTGCTTACCTTTTAGCCCCGTTGCAGATGACACATCGTTTATTCTTCTCTTTAGTACCACATGTTCTGTCTACTCACTTTCGTGCCCTCCCCACCAGAGTCAAACACTTTGCGCCGGTAGGCCAGGTGATTGGATACAACACTCTTCTTACTCAACGCTTTCGGGAACCAGATCACCACACGTGATTCATAGCTCCTCGCTTATCAGAGAAAATCGTTGTCCGGAACTGCTGACAAACATTCCGATCAGGCCCGTGGAACGTTTCGAGTTCGACACTTGTGTGAGTTATCTGCGAACAAGTCCATTGTCAACACTGGTTAGCATCAAACACATAACCAAGACACCGTTTGGACACCGTTGCGAATTACCACACCTGTAAACATCTCGTTGTGGATTCTGCTGCTTGAATCCAGAGTAGAAGACAACTTTGTATTTCTAACGTTGCATCATCCTTCAAGCACCAGTGGCTATATATGATCAGCTTTTTGTCATGGGAGAATTATTATGCAGAAAAAGCAACTAGTCACGTGAACAGGGGGTTAGTTATTGTAATAAGACATAACTTAGTCGTTAAGCTACGTCCCAAACTATTATATTCACTGTGGCCGGCTATGTTCACCAAAAATTTGCCTTAAGGGTAAATAATTTCAAAATGTTGTAAGGCTACCGTACGGAATGAGTCCAAATAGCAAGAGTTCGCATTCTTCCATATGAATGGTGCCTAACGATGATAGGTGGGGACCATAAGTCAGCACCAACGAGAATTGTACCGTAGTTTTTACAACAAGTAATTTACCAGCACGATGACACGAAGCCACGTCCACTTTACCGTTAGATGAAGAATAACGCTAAATTGCTTATGCATTTCCAAGTGTGGACAAGCCAAGCTGGCTCTCCGGTTACCTGTACAGAGTCGGGAAACTATGTCCAACTAGTAAACGAGACCAATAGCTCAAATCTATTGAATCTGAAACCTACTACGGTGTGCTGCGGCTTTTGGAGCGATAGGTCGCACGGTTATAACAAGCTTCGATCAATCTGATGGATCTGGACTGACATTTCATTGTAACGTACGAAATAATTCGGCTCCACGGATTGAATACATGAAACGAAATCACGAGTAGTAGTAGTAGTAGTAGTAGTAGTAGTAGTAGTAGTAGTAGTAGTAGTAGTAGTAGTAGTAGTAGTAGTAGTAGTAGTAGTAGTAGTAGTAGTAGTAGTAGTAGTAGTAGCAGCAGCAGCAGCAGCAGCAGCGAATTACAGGAGTAAAATGGTGTTAATAGCAGGCTGATTTCGAGATCAAATGCCTAGTAGCTCATCCAATGGGGACGCAGCGCTGGACGCCAACCCCGTCATCTGCACATTAGCAGCCCACGCGGCAGTGGGAATTAGGAAAGTTCTACTGCAGCTAGTAATTGCACATGGCAGTCGGTCGCCGTCACCCATGGATCGAGAGTTTTAACAGGTGTTTGGTAGCAATGCAGTCACTGAATGGAAGCACATAATATCCATGGTAGTTTGGCATGACTGATGCAACTGATAACACAAAAGGCCCGATTGGCACTTTTCCGAACTGCGATGGCTCTCTGATTATACCTAGCTGTCATAAGCAATGTCTGGGATGGAAGTTGTTTTCAGTCGCGATGTAGATGTGGTCCCTGGAGGTAATTCTTTTAATAATGACCTTCCCAGTTCTCACCATGATTTTACTCCTTCTGTAATGTTTCATAAAGGAACTGCAACTCTAATTATTCACTATGCGCTTTCATTTAAGCTTCCAAATGCCACTGATCCATCGTTTCATCCACCGGGGGTCACCGTTATGCGAAAATACTCAGCGGAATGGGAAGCTCCTCCTAGACCAAAAGCCAGTTGTGTGCGATGTGCGCTGAACCCAGCTCCTCAGTCTGATATCGTCGCATCTCTCAATGCCCCAAACTACGCATGCCGCATTACTTTTCACTCTGAAGAGCCAAGCTGCAGTTCCATTAGCAGAGTAAGAAATGTTTTGAGTGAATTCAAATAAATTTCATAACTCACCAAAACCCTAACAAATCCAATAGGGATTAGTTATTTACCAATAATCCAATGAAAGCATCCCATGTTTTGTGCGAGCAACACATTTTCTAGCATGCACCAATGTACTGGGAGTCCTTTGCACATTACGATTAACGAACAGATGAACGACGCGCTCAGTACTAAAGAAATCTCTGGGCACAATGTCTGCAGTCGATGAGTGCTTTTACAAAAAGGCAAAAAGCAAGGTACTTTGGCCAGGCCTTTCAAACAGGAAACTCGTACTGCCTATCGCGCAGCGGAAGCGCAAAATATCAATGTGGCTATAGCAAGGGGAATGAATCGCTCAAACACTTGAGTCCACTTGCAATTCATGGATATAAGCCAACTCCCACCTTTTAACCCTTTTAAACTTCCCTGATTGCGTAACCTATACTGCAATACCATCGGACGACGGTTGCTTAGCACATTGGAAATGCATCTAGTTGTGGTGGATGAACGTAAATGGTACATCACAGCTAATCACTCGGTCTTGGTATAAGCCAATAACTATTGAGCACTGCCTACAAGATATTTCGTCCGATGCACTGTTTTCGATAAAAATCCCATAAGGGCTCCAAGGAAGATCTCGATGCTCAGCCAGCGAGAAAGTCTCGACTGAGCGGATTGCTTCGGTTATCTCGTAATCAAGTAAACATTATGTTTTCTGCTTTCGATCATAGCCAGCAGGTAGGTGAAAACATGGAATAAATAAATAAATGAGTTGTCCTCGGCATTGAGAAACACACCTTCATAGCCATGAACATGGGGGTGCAATCACGGTAGGAGCAGCTCAGGTTCCAAGGATAATGTTAGCTCCGCCCTAACAAGCGTCCAGCTTTTGCTGACAGACCTCGGTGCTTCGACACTTGAGTTGATCTCCTTGTCTCAACAAAAAATGTGAAACAAGAAGGAAAGCAACGTCTGTATTTTCCTGAGTCATAAACCACGAAGTCTAAGACAGTTGTCAATAAATTTCCAATACTTCTGGAAAAAGAAACATGTCACACATATCTGGCACTTTTGTGAAGGCTCCTATAATGATACTTCTCATTAAGGCAGAAGAAAGTCATTACAAAACTAAGCTGCACAATTTGCAATGAATTTGGACCCCATCTCCAGCCCGAGCCTCTGCTGTTTAAGCTTATATCCACTCCCGCGCAGGTGGTCGGATGTAGCTGGAACAAACAAATCGGATAGATTGATAGCTCTGGGCCCTACATGATCATGGGTGTTTTTATCAGGTCAGTACTAGTCCCTATTTAGAAGAGAGGTGCTCGCATATCCTATACTAATCAAAGTGATAGCCGTCTCATGTCGGTAGCCTCCAAAACTGCTGGTAACCCTACTGCTCTTCAGATTATCCCCGATCCGACAGTTGATTTAGCGCGAAGAACAAGCTGATTTTCGCCCCGGTCGAGGATGCGTGGAGCAAATCTTCACGGTACGCGAAATCCTTGAACACCGCCATCTCGACCACGCACCAACCATTGTCCTCTTCTTAGACATTCGAGCTACATTTGATTCGGTGGATCGGTCCGCTTGTGGCACTGTTTGCTAAGTACACTTCCGAAAAATACACTTCTATCATTCGAACGATTTAATTCCAAGTGTCAGGCAGAGTGAGGTTCTATGGTAATGTTTCCTCACCTGTCGCTATCACTAATGATGTGCGACAGGGGTGCCCTTTGTCTCCATTCCTATTCAACTTTGCTATTGAAGACGCCATGTTGAAATCACTGGAAGTCTTCCAAAATCTTGGTATTAAGCCTATTTCTAACAATCGAGTGACCTACTTAGCTTACGCTGATGCTATTGCTTTGTTCAGTGACGATTCACGAAGTGGACGGCTGTTTTTGAACCGTCTGGCGATTGAAGCGTCTAAATATGCTATGCACTTCTCCTCCTTGAAGTGTAAAGTGCTACTCCAATACTGGAAAGCGTCTGCCCCCGCACTTACCATTTGACGAACACAGCTAGAGCTTGTGGACAAATTTATCGACCTCAGATGCTGTGTTACTGCTGATGGCACTCTTCAAACCAAAAAAGCCCTGTCGGCATTTACCAACCTAAATCAGTTGTAGCGTCGTCGGGACATCTCCCCTCTTTAAAGTGGAGGGTCTAGAACGACTGTGTTCACGCGGTCCTGTAGTACGGAAGTGAATGCTGGCCGATTCGTATGGATGACATGCGTTAGCTTTCGGCGTTCGACAACACATGCTTGCGGCGGATAGATCGTGAGTGTTGGCAGCACCAGGTTCTCAACGATGAAATCCAGCGTGTCGTCTTGGGAAATGTTATTGGATGATGTATGCTCATATATATTTTGCTACAATTCTTAGTCGCCTGCTTTCCTTTCGCCAGCATTTGTTTCTTGACAGTTGTTTAGACATACCATTCCTTTGCTTCGATTGGCTGGCCTAAGTCATTCATAATGGAGTTAATGTCGTTTCCTCCAACTCGCTTGATTGGCTTTTTCTTTTTCCAATTCGCACTCGCTCGCTTTATTCGTTGCCAGTGGGCGTGCTATTACACGGTTGCCCGAGCCGAATTAGGGTTGTCTTAGGGGACACCACCTTAAGCCTTTGAGTAAACAGCCTGCCCACAAAACAGAGGGACGAATTCTGGGAATCACGCCCATTGTGAGTCAGTGACTGTATGTTCAGAGTATACGTCTTTCGTTTGGTCGGTTATCAAACGATGGCCCAATCCTCCCCATGAAATCAGGCCTGGGCATGAAAAAGTATGTGTGTGTATTTTGATAGATTTTAACGTACGCCGAAACAGTTTACTGCGAATACCAGAGAATAGTAAGGGGAGTTGAATGCTATGGGTGGGAATTCATCATAACTAGACTCGGTCAGACAAACATCACACGTCCGGAAAAAGCACCATACGGCCGCTTCATACTTTCGGGAATGGTCAGCAGTACGCATTTAAGCAGATCCTTGTAGGGTGCGGACCCTCAACTGGACTGTTTCCAATGAGCAGCGCTATGGCACATCTAGTAACGTAGTCACGACTGTTGTGCTCGTCCTCCGCAGCCCAGTATTCTAAGCCACAGACTGGCCGAAAGTGGAGTTGCGTGTTCGAGCCCTACGAAGGTCAGAAGGACCGAGCACTTATGACGATTCTCAAGGGGATGAAATGCCTTACAGTACTTTTCAGGTCATGTGGTGGCCGTGTGACTGAGTTTAGCTGTGATGAATTTCTACCTATAATATACTTTCATGGGAAGCTGCAGCGCACTGAAACAGTGAATTCATCCGCCTTCTACAAATTCTAACATGTTCGTGCGGTGAGTATCATTACTATGCGTTACAGCTAATTGTCTTTTGATAACAATTAACCACAAGACTTGAATTTGACACAGCTAGGAGACATCCGAGTGATGACTAACCAGAGAACGCGTTACAAAATATCAGCACGTCATACAATTGCTACTCACTTGATAGCGGTGCTTTCACTGAGGAGGTTCCCACTTTGTCAACAGGTGACGAGTGTACGGCACGGAAGAGAAATGGACACCTACGTTGTCTCGTCTGCCATGGTCCAAAATCCGCCAGTGATGCAGACCTCTGACGGAACCTTCTTAGTGTCAGATACACTAAAGGTAGGTTTCCAAGTTACCACTCAGTCTACGGAAGATGGCATCCCAATCTGATGGATATGTCAAAGTCAAGCCATGAGTCCATTAGTTATGTGGCGATAATTTGTTTTCTTCGGCATCTTGGTTTTAGTCAGAAAGCGGACGATTTGTGGGCCCGATTCCTTTGGATAGAACCACCGTTGCTTGCTCTCAAGTTGACCCCATATTACATCCGCATAGAACCAGGCCGCAATTTCAACTGCTCGGATCTTCCCTGTATCCACCGCCCAGAGGATGCTTTATCCGAACCGTCACTGCTACCGATGTACAACGCGTTATCCCAAAACCACCACCACCAACCACACCTAACAGGAAGAGTTGGAACCGCGACTCTAGCTGGGTAGGTGCTAAACATTTGTCGAACTAGACGGAAGGGCTGCTTATTTGTATTTACTAAGTTGTATAGTTTGACTGCTTAGATCTTCATGTATTGGAGGGCTAACCCAAACCTTGTTTCCACTTGCGGAAGGTCACAATCCTACTAAATCGAATCTAAACTACACAGCAGAGTTATTATAACGCAAGATGCACCATCGTCGCACCGATTGACTTAGAAAATTAAATATCAGTTAACGTTTGTGTGCTTAAAACACACTGGATTTACTGTAAACATTTCCTCTATAGGACTTGTCTCCGTCCCAGAATTGTCGTGTGCAAGGTTTACTTGTGAACCACGGCTGGCTATTGGTAGTGACTGTTGTTCAAATTGGCTATTTCACTCTAAGTATAAGGCGTCTCTCTTGTAATTCACTGACCGTCTGTTCAATGCGGTATAGATGTAGGCGACGTCTCAACACTCGCGTAAAAGCAAGGAGACCATGTAAAATACCGGCGTACCGCCAATGAGTTTGCAATGGTTAACATGAACCTACGCGCATAGAGGAAAACATTATTGTATGTCATTAGATGAAGTAACTGAAAAGGGAATCCCCAGAATGAGTTCAGAGAGGATTTTTTATTACTGATGCTTACAAAACCGTCCGCAACGTTGCATTAGGCGAATGCGAATCGTCTTCACGCATTATCCCATTTGGGTGCGCAATAATCAATTTAGATTATTCTAGATTAGCTGGTTCTATTACCTGAGCAATGTACTTCACTAGAGTTCCGTGAAACAGATACCCTCCCACAACAACATTTAGGCTGGGTGGCGCGAAGCCAGGCTGTCTCACTTTAACCGTATTTTATAATGCGCCTTCTATTCCTTCATCTTTTACCACTCGCACACATGAACGGATACCAGACATTGTTGTCAGGTATTTGGATACGAAATACGTAATAAGACAAGTGTTTTTTGCTGTCCTTCGTTACACTGCAATCCATAGTTTGTTGCATCTTTGTTTACACACTTCTAGTAGACCTAACGGAACTGCTAGTTTTACTCCGCGAGCCGCCGTGCCACCAGCTCGCATGTAAAAATGCCTTATTGGTCCTCGTGGATTTTTGTCTTTGTTTCTTTGAATTGATTGCTGTCACCTTGACTAAAATCACCGAAAACTACTTCAACGTTAACTACGGTGCATAGTAAGATTGTTTATAGCTTTGCACTCATACAGCGGCTGCATCAAATAAGTTCACAATTGGATATAACCATTTCACTCAATATAAACAGATGAAATAACCAACTGTTCTTCGAAAATGACTTTATCGGGTTGTGCCTGGGATAATAGTCGGTAATCAGTGACACGTAAGAGATGTGTCAAATATGGGACAGTATAGAAATTGGAGGCGACTGAACTCAAGGTGTATTTTGCACGCTGCAAAAATAGGAAGCGAATCAATCAGGGCGAGAAACTGTGCAGTAAGATACTAATCAAAACAATTCGTGTCAACGGAATTGCCGTCAGTAAAATAAGTGGATGTTTTGCAGGTTAAAACGACAGTAAGATCCAATGTTGAAAAATACTAAAAGAGCGTGTTTTCCGTTACACTACAATTTCCGCGTTAGTAGAAAGCGGTGCATTTTCAGGATTGCCCTTTGAAGATCGGACTATTAGCTGAGCCTAAGAACTTTTGTTGTTGTTGTTGTTGTTGTTGTTGTTGTTGTTGTTGTTGTTGTTGTTGTTGTTGTTGTTGTTGTTGTTGTTGTTGTTGTTATACTGCTGTTTCGTTATCAGTCAAAATGACATCATCAGCACGTTGATACTTAACAGCGTGTGGCAGCCGGTGCTTGGTTGGTGCTTCAGTTGAGTGAGCCATTGATCAAATTGTCTGTCTTGGATCTGATTGACTGCGCTTTGGCCTTTGAACTTGACTGACCTGATGTGTACCGAACGACCTTACACTATTTACCCCGCGACTGGTCCTGTCACCTGATTTGTTTATCTGGTGTACTGTACCTTGCTATGCTTCTTATTCCCTCCGAGTCTAAGCGGCAACCATCCTCGATTCTACCCACGGGAACCACAATGATGACCATGCCATCATATGGTTCCACTGTGGTGCGTGATCCGTGTAGTGTACTTTATTATTTAGAGTATCCATTAGGTGCCCTGCAGATGTAACTTAACCATCAGCGGCACATATCGCAGATGAGCATTCCAAACTGGCCAGTTACAAAAAATGACTCTTGCCACAATCTACCTTGAGTTCTACAGTTTCTATAAAGGGCTGCTTACACCGTATGTGAAAACTGTCGGTATGAAAGGAAGATCGGCCTGCCGAAGCTGTATAAGACCGCGGAACAAGATGACCTTCCTCCCGCCCTCGTCAAATTCGGGGGACTTACAAGAGTCATTAGCGAAACTGTGGAAGCAGGAAGCATTTCCAACCTACTGGAGCCGCTCCCTAATTTTCCAATCTTCAAGGCGGGCTCACCTTCGGAATGCAGCAGTCATAGAAGAGTCAGTCTGACCTCCATCGCTTTCAAATTGATTACCTCCGGCATCCTTCACGGAATGAGCAGCAAGCTTTATTTCGTTGATGTTGGAGCTGCATAGATCACATCTTTACTTTGCGTCAATTGTTCTAGCAACGTCAAATATATTGACGGCCCACCGTAGTCGTGTTCGTCGATTTCAAAGACGTCTTCCATTCGCTTGATCGTTGTGCCCTTTGGGACTGTCTGCTAAGGAAAGGTGTGCCCGGGAAGTATGTAAAAATTATGCGAGTGCTTTACGCGCGTAGCGGGGGCAGAGTGAGGGCTTACAACAAGCTGTCGCCGCCCTTCAATATCTCCAGTGGTGTGAGACTAGGATGCTGGCTGCCACCATTACTTTTCAACTTCGGTGTCATGGAGATCGCGTTCACTGGGCACGACTTAGGAGGTGTAGCTACTCCCAGGTGAGTGACTACTTGACTTGGATTATGCTGACGACATTGTCCTCATCCGTGACAGCTTCCGAATATGCCAAGCTGCACTGGACAGATTAGCATTGACTGTCAGCCGTTTCGCGCTTTGCTTTGCACCGTCGAAGTACAAAGCTTCCCTCCAAGATTGGTAGGGACCGACTGCTGCGCTGACCATTGGTAGAGATAAGCTAAAAGTCGTTCGGAGATTCAACTGTATCAGCGTCAGTGGAATCGAATACGAGATCACGAACCGTAAAGCGGAAGCTCGAGGCGCTTTTGCAAATGTTCGCTACCTGTGGTGCCCATGTGAGGTCACTCTCTTCCTGAAGGGTAGAGTGTATAAGGTAGCCGTACGCTCGACCCCACTATACGGTTGTAAAATCTGGCCCATTAGATTGAAAGGCAAGAAGAGTATAGATACATTCGACCACTGGGACCATCTCAGTTTGGCTCATATCTGATCGGAACACCGTGTGAGCAATTATTGTTCGACGCCTCCTGTATGGCACAGGAAGAGGAAGTGAACCGACCAGCATAGTTATTTCACGCTCCAGACTCCGATGGTCGGGCTACGTGTTGCGCACGCAAACACACAGGCTCCCGCAACGTGCGTTGTTTGCGCGCCGGGCTAGTGGATGGAAGAAGAGGAGGGCTGGACTAACTATGATTTGGTCAAAGCCTCTCGGAACCCTAGTTTGGATCCGAAAGACGATGAACACGTCCGGCTGGATACACTTGCTCGCCTGGTTAGGAGCAGCGCTCAATAACATTCATGCTGTGAGTTCCTTCGTCCCTCCCCTCCAACTGCGACATCGTTTCCTAGGCAAAATATAATTCGTTTTTCGCAACACTCTGGTAGCTCTTCGAAACGATGCCCATCCGTTACTGATGTCTCAGCTGCTTTGTCTCAGTTGCAGGTGTTTTTCTAATTTTTTCTGTATTGCTGCACAGTAGCTGAGGAGTTTTCCACCTCTAGCTATCGAGTATAATGACGATGATAATTCTTTTTGTCATTGTTAATAAAACTAAGGCTTGCTCGAGCAAAGTAACGGAAATGTTTGGTAGCATGGATAATTTTGTCACCACTCTAGCGTTGCAGTAGATGGAATTTGATCAACTCCAAACCGGACTATCCATACTTCTTCACATGTGTTGAATTGCACGGTGAAGCTACTTTTCAGATCAGTTAAATTATTGGAGCAAATTTTACCACACTTTGCCACCATCCCTCATAAGGACGTCCCCACTAATCAAACTCTTTTCATCCGTCCGATATTGAACTCGTCACCGTGGTAACACTTCCCGATGTGTACTAATCTTCGTTACAGAACTACCTCAGAGAGATGCGAGAATCGAGAGCGCGAAGTCCCTTTGGGTTGTTTCCACGTGCTGCCTCCCCTCTGGGACAAGCATCGGATTGCAGTTTCCTGGTCTCTGAACGGTCTGAGGTAAGTTAAAACGACTTGAGTCCAGTTGGCTCTGCAACAATGTCTTCAGAAGTATTCGGCTTTTGCTTATGACTGACACGGAATGTGTCGGGTTCTCACAAAATGATTATTAAGAACGATTGAAGGGCCATTTGGAGTGCACTTTGTGTGATTGGCTTGTTAAGAAGTTTTGACAGAATTATTCACAAAAAGTTCAAGTTTTCTCTATCGAACTTTGCAGAGCTAAATTCAGTGTACTTTTTAATCAAGTTAGATCGTCCACTTTTTCACGTTAAACAGTCCCGAGATTCATGCAGTTGCCTATATCCATTCGCACTAGTCTGCTGGACGTGTGGTACCTGCGTAGTGAATCAGTTCTCTCACCACCATTCGTTAAACGTACTTGAAACTCTGTCTTCATTAGACCACTTACGACAGGTCTATCGCGCGGCGATGTTCAATGTAACGTTCGGCTGATATGCTATGCACCTAGGCTGATGTCATCTAGGTCCTTACAATCTGTAACTCAGGATACACGCAGTGTGACGAAGCACAGGGTTCCCACTTACCAGTCCATACCGGCAAGCCACATGCGTCGGTGTGGTCTGAGTTTTCAGGCCGACTGCAATACCAAGACACGTGGGCAGTGGCCATAGTAATATTACTTTACTTCGTACGAGGATTATCGTTTAGTAAAAGACTTGCGGCTGAATCGAATTGTTAAAATAGCATTGGCTATTTGTACTTACTGAAAGCCGTGCACGCTTTTGCTTAGGTGCACAGAGCAGTCATGGTATATCTAACACCATTCACCATTAAAGTGTCTACGGTGACGAAATATTTCGGTACACAGTCTAGACGATTCAGAACATGTTTAAACTAGTGAAAACGAAGTGAGTACTGTTCGTTCACCCATCCACAAAATGTGCTCATTTCCTGTCATACAGCCAGGGTGCATCTGAAAGAGTTCTACACGGAACCCCTCTTTGTCGAACAGTATAATCCACAATTTTCTTCTTTGAAGGAAGTGATTAATATTGTAAGGGCACGGGGAACGTTGGTCACCCCACAATAATTTAATAGGATGTTAGGTAGGACGACTCAGTCGCCCTTGTTAGTTGGGAGAAAAACCTTTGTGGTGCACAGTATTCTGTTTGTATTAGGCAAAAATATCAGAGTATAGGCAACAGTATGTACAATCAGACATCAGTTTGCTTACTCCTGTGGAACATAGTAACAGGGCTGGTGTTTTAATGCAGTCAACGTTATCTTGAGGGAGCAGCTGACTTATTTTGTCAGAGAAGGACCGGGAGTGAATTACAGCACTGTCCACGATGTACTTATGACATTTACTAGCTTGCGCGTCACATCATTCATCATCATTATGCACATCAGCTAGAGGTGGGAAACACCTCAGCTACTGTGCCGCAATACATGAATGAAAAAGGAAAATAGATACAAAAAGTTGCATGCCAGCTGGGCTACCAGCAAAGGATAGGCATCGTTCCGGTAAGCTACCAGCCAGCTACTAGGCAAAAAGAAAAAATTATTATGTTTTACACTTTGAAATGAGATCATAGGTGAAAGGGGAGGCTAAAAACGATGAGAAGGGACAAAAATACTCACAGCACGAACGCCACTGAGGTCGGCTTCTTGCCATTTCAGCAAGTGTATCCAGCCAAACGTGTTCATCGTCTTTTGGAGCCAAACAAGGGAGCCGAGACGCTCCAATCGAGGCTAGCTCCGAAGTGAGGGCCTTCATTCCTCTCGACCAAGTCATCGCTTGGCCACCCCTTTTCTTCTTCCATCCACATCCCCGGTGAGCAAACAACGCACGTCGCGGGAGTCGGTGGGCTGGCATGCGTAACACATGACCAAGCCATCGGAGCATGGTGCGAGAAATAACGGTGCTGAGCTGTTAATTTTCCTTTTCCTATGCCATAAACAAGGCGTCGAAAGCGCTCGTTGATCATGCGATGTTCCCACCAGATTTGAGCTAAATTGCGAAGGCACCGGTGGTCGAACGTAACTATCCTCTTCATGTCCGCAAATCTCGTGGGCCAGATTTCGCAACCGTACGGTAGGGTCGAACGTACCGCTGCATTGTACACTCTACCCTCCAGCGCAAGAGTAATGTCGCGCCGCCGCTTTAGGTGGCGAAGGTTAGCAAAAGCACTTTGAGCTTTTGCTATACGGTTCGTGTTCTCGTCTTCGATCCCAAGGGCGCGTCACAGTGGTAATCAGTTCTGCGACAGGTTTACAAGTTTCAAGTCGTGACCAGATATTGGGATGAACAGTGTATTATATGTGTCCGTGTGACAAGGTGGCATTTTTTCAACAAATGTATGGTCTACTGCGCAGCAAAGTTGCTTCGTATATTGTTGGGCCCCTTAATCACCTAATTATTAGAAGACCTCAGCAAGCAGGTGTGAGATGTCGAGCACTGAGGTCATGTGCATATTAAAAAGGAAAGAAGAAGTCTAAACCAAGTAGCCTGCAGTATCCAGGTAAATTAAAAGATAAGTGTAGTTTGCAAATTACGTAGCCCAGCCTACGTCCCCCAAGGCTCAGTGTCTTAAAATGCTGGCTAGTTGGCATCTGTCACCGGCGGTCATGGATACGATCTTCCTTAGAGGACCGAGGGAATGCGCACCACTGACCAGCCCCAATAGGGCGAAACACACCTGGTGCATTTCCGGACTAGGTTGTGCTACTTAACTTGCGAACTGCTGGGATAAAAACCTCAACAAAGTTACAACTAAAAGCCTGCTACTTACAGGTACTATATAGTTGTAGGATAGGTGCGAGCATACTGGAAACGGACTAAGGCCGTCGTAAACTCAGAATGATAAGCTGACCGTAGCGCAGCCCGCAAAACAAATACCAGCGGTCAGTGAAAAGCTCTCCGTTACAACATCCGAAATAAATATGTAAATAGGCTAACCAAAAGCAACAATGATTTGATTCAATAGTTAAACAAAACAAAGAGTAGCAGTTGAAGAAAAAATGCATACAACAGATAACATAGATATGGTGGAGTAAGCAATCTTACATATTAGTAAATACTTGCTAAACAGCTGCATAATGGTCTGTATACTTTTGACCCATTGTACTGCAAATAGTTTGTGCAAAAATATTGTAATACATTAAAACATGCGCAGCCCAATTTCGTCCATGTATTCCGAAACCAAAGTAATGCGTCTTTTTAGAAGCCGAACGAGTTAAGTTGAGCACCGGATACTAGTCGAGCACTGAGATTTGAACTATAGCACTTGCTGGTTATAAGAAGAGGAAACAACAATTGTCCGTTGACTTAGGTCAGATGAACTTTATATACAAATTTATTTCTTTATTTCTTTATGTAATGGTTGGCGGCATCCGGTTTCGGATTTGCCTGTCACTGTGGCAAGCCACAGAAAGCTGCGCCTACAGAGCGACCGTAGGTGGCTTGCGCTGCACCACCCACAGCTCCATCCACATGCCCCATATCCAGTGTAAACCCAAAGGAATAAGACCAGGAGGCACGCGGATGGGAGCCACGTTTCATCAACGGAGCCAGCCTACACTCGTCAAAGGCAAACACAAGCACGCCGTATTTGGGGAATCAAGTGCACACAATGCAATGGCTGTACGGTAGTCCGCTCCACACTGAGTGCATGGAACCACTCTTCGAGCCTAGCACGGCCACAAGGACCGTGCACCCCGTCCCCTCCAGCAACGACCAAGTGTCTCCTGGAGCCAATATGGACGCGGTGGTGGGTAATAGACAGGTAGGCACCTTGTCAACATGCACATCAAGCGCAGCCACACCGGGGATATCAAGCAACAGCCAAGCACTTGAAACGACAAGATGAAATAAAATAAATCGGATAATGCACACAGATCCGGTGACATAAACCCTCAATCAATAGGCGTATAATAAGTTGATTACAAACAAATGCGCCACAAGTACCAGAGGTCAAAAAACATATTTTAAGGACACGCCATAAATGGGAAAATGTTATTGAAATTAACTAAATTGGTCTAAGCAATGTGTGCAAGTTTATAGAAGACTGTACAAGTAGACATTAATATGAGAAAGAAAATCATAAGGACAAAATTGGAAACCCACCACCTGAAATAAAGGGACTAAGCATGCAAGAATACAGTTAGCAAATCGAATGCAGCGTACCTACAATGGTTGCCTCGGTTCTGCCTACGTTCTTTGCAGGACCTGTCGTCGCTTCGGTTTTGGTCCCGAGGGGCCTCGGGCTCACTAAGCCTGCCTGACTCAGGCACTCGCGACCGCATGTGCTACAGCACCATGCGCTCGATGTCGATGGAGTAAAACCCATCGGTGCTTGCCGCTTCCGCAATTGCCGCTTCTTCTCTGCATGCACGAGGGATTTCTCTTGCACCTCGACAACTGCTTTCGTAATCAGATCGCGCTATGCACACCGATCAACCGTCTTCGATTCCCATTACCTGCAATCAAGATTAGAACGTGAAACGCCCACTTTGATTATGTCCTGGTAACGTAACTTTGGTTTCCCCACATGCCGCTTCCCCACTCTCAGCTGAAATTATGATAGTTGTTTCGGTATCCGCGTCGAATCCATACGGCTCACATGATCGAGCCATCTTAAGTGTTCCAGCAAAAGCATGCAATCCACCGCATACATGCCACTGCGGCGGAATACTCCCGTGTCCGCAACTCTGTCGCATCAACCAAAGCTTAACATCCGTCGCAAACATTGTTGATGGAACCGCTCAAAATATCGCACATGCCGCCGGTACATCGTCCACGGTTCACTGCTGTATAAGAGAATGGACAGCACCATAATTTTGTACACCATCGGCTTCGTAACAATGGTAAGCTGATGGTTGTTCCACACTCGGTACTCTAGTTTCCCGAATGCCCAAACTGTCTTCCATACGAAGATGCGCAGCACACTGTGCAGCTGCTGCTCAGTTGACATCACACTCCCAAGATTTTCAGAAGTGGGAGGTGGTTCCTAATATTTTAGCGCTAACGCTGATTCGCGACACCATTTTAGATTGCACCTCCGGTGAAGGCTGAAAGAGACAGACAGTTTTGCTTGTGTTGATGGTGGCCGCTTTCGAAGCCAGAGCACTAGCCATGTGCCGCAACTCCTCCGCGTTGTGTGCAAACAACACAAACAGCAACATACGGATAGTTATCTCACAGACTAGAGTTCTCGCACCGAAACGACGGATATTCAGCAAACCACCATCAATACGGTGCTCCACACGAACACTGTAAGCACAAGCGGCATCAAAAGCACAAGACATCATTGCATGAAGATATATATTAAACAGGGCACGAGTTAACACAGCCTAGCTTCACACCAGTGACAATTACAATGTCATCCGAGGTCTTCTCAATCAGCTGCACTCTCGTTCGCATACCACTGGGTACACATTCAATTCAACTTACAAACATACGCGGGCAACCAAACTTACCCAACACTAGCCATAATGCCTAGCCGTTCACTATATCATATGCCTTGGTGGAATCAATAAAAAGCGAGTACAAAGGCTGGTGTCGTTCTCTGCACTTCTCTTGCAACTGACGAGCCGCAAACACCATACCTGCAGTGCTGCGACCCGAACGAAATCAACACCGCTCTTCCGCGACGTTAGGTTCCACAACCTGACTGACGAGGCGGTTGAGCAGGATTCGGGCAATCACCTTGCCCACACAACTCAGCAAGTTGATGCCACGATAATTCGTGCAAAATTGCTTGCTCCCTTTGGCCTTGCAAAGTGGTAGCACAAGCGCATCCTTCAGGTCAGGATGCACCTCCTCCTTAATCCATATGCGTTGCACCAAGTGGTGCAGCGCAGTCACCAACGCGGGTCCGCCGTGTTTCAATACTTCAGGCGGGATCCCGTCGGCACCGACACACTTGTTGTTTCGCAACTGAGCAAGTGCTCTCTGCGTCTCATCCAGTGTCGGCGTGTCTGCCAGACTCGCCTTCGTATCATGCTTCTTCAGGCCGTTAAATGTAGACTAGTCGATCTCCGAACGGTTGTTCAAGATACATTATGCATTATGCTGCATTATGCATTATGCCTGCAGTCTATGTGCAGGTAGCGCCTAAACTCCCATCGATCAGCGTCTTCAGCGGCTCCAATCTCGGTCCATACACCGCCTTCAAAGTGTCCAAGAATTCCTTGTGTTGGCGACGTTCGGCGTAGCATTCTATCTGCTTCGTGTTCTCCGTCCACCATGCATTTAGTATGCGACGGAGCTCTCGGGTCAGGCGCCGTCTTAGTTAGAGAAACTGACTACTCTTCCCTTAGTCACTAGGATCTGACACATGTACATCAAATGCGTCATTCTTCTCACACACCAATGCGCCAATCGTCGCATTGTTCTCATCAAATCAATCAGGCCGCTTACAGTTTGCGCGCCCGATGGTCTCCTCGGCAGCAGCTGTCACCTGGTCGTGAATGTGGTGCCACAGTTTGACCACTGTGGCTATGCATTCCACATCACACAGGCGTGCAGCCATCGCCTTCTCCAGCTCAGTACGTTTCGGCCCAGTACCGAAGGAGAGAATGTCAAATTTCCACCGATTCATGGCAGGAGTGCAATACATAGATTTACGAAAATATATGTACAGTTTGGTCCGCACCAATTTGTGATCAGTACCACACTCAGCCCCACGTAGTACACGTGTCATGCGCACTTCATGCATATTACGTTGACGTACGATGACATGGTCGAGCAGGTTAGCATGACCCCTCCGTGGGTGCGTCCAAGTTGCTATATCACTCGCACTCAGTGCAAACCGAGTTTCGTGATCGTCAGGCCGTGAGTGGCACACAGTGAGAGCAGCCTGTCACCGTTCGCATTCGCTGAACCAATGCCATGCGAACCGATAACATCTGTCCACACCTATACCTCACGTCCAACGCGCGCGTTGAAATCACCCAGCAGAAATAGTCGGTCACTCCTCGGCACTGACCGTATCACCGAGGATAGCTGAGTGTAGAATTGATCACGCGTGTCATCAGGATAACACATGGTCGGACCGTACGTGCTGATAAAGGTGGCAAACTTACTTCTTCCGACTTGTAGGCGAACAGTTATCAGTCGCGCGCTGATGCCTGTTGGTTCACCCACCAGCTGGCCATGGAGGCGATCGGATATTGCAAATCCGACCCCATGATTACGTGGTGCTGACGCGACGTTGCCCACCCAGTAGAATGTGTAGCCAACACCTGCTTCATGCAACTTACCTTGCTCAGAGAGCCGGGTTTCACTGAGTGCCGCAATATCGATGTGGTAACGCGCCAGCTCCATCGCGACCAGTGCAGTGCGTCGCTCGGGGCGCTCGTTGGAGTTCCGGTTAACCAGTGTGCGCACGTTCCAGCACCCGATGCTGAGTGCTTTGCGCGCAGGCATACGATTGCATTTGTGGGAAATCGCACGCAAGGTGGCGGATGTGCTTCAGAGGTTTGCTTTAGGGACACCACCCGGAGCCTTTGGCTCAATAGTCTGACCCACAAGGCAGTGGGTGATTTGATTTGCTTGAGGGATTCCGCCCGGAGCCTTTGGCTCATATAGTTTAATACACCTAACCTAAGTCAACTGAACTATTGCATAGAGTATATTAGTCATGTGGCATTTAGACCATCCAGGGATGTGGCTGACGTCAACCCATTAACCATTTGTTTTAATACTTGTGCCCCGGTATCTTTTTCCTATATTAGATCACACGCTCCGGTGCTCCTCCGCATGGTAGCTCTGCGAGTCCGGTGGGTTTTTTCGGATATGATGACACCACTACCACCGTTACGACAACCTATCGAGCTGACTTTCAGGATCCCAGATTGGTAAGTTACTTTAAGTAAATATATCGTAACGTTGCCTAACATTGCTCAGGATAAGCGTATTTCTGATCTACTATAGCTTGCTTCAGAATGAAAGAAAGGAAAATGGTAAACCAAAAAGTGTCTTCCAGCAAGACTATCATCTAAACCAACTAGGATGTCAAGCGGGAACAATATTTTGATATAAGGGATCACACATTGCACTATTTAGCGGATAATATGTTGAGCTACAATGGCCATCATGATATTAGCAATGAAAGTAACTAACCCCGTATTCTGCACTTTTGTTGCTCCTCATTTCGCCACGCAATCTGTTCAGGCCAAGACCGTCTGTAATGAGTACGTAGCAGGGGTCAGTTCATAGTGTTTTATTTTAGGGGTTGCATGATTGTAACTCGGCTACTGACCACGGACAGGTTAAGCAAAGTTGAGAAGAAACTGTAAGACACGTTTTTGTGCGGACCATATCTTTTTGCTTGTACTTCAAGTGCTGGTCAAAACCCTGACTGCATTAGTGCGGAAAATGGCACTGTGCATTTTTCCGTCTTATCGGAAGTGTGGATCGTCCTCAGATATTATATTGTTGTGGACTGCTTACTGATGATATGAAGCACGGATTGGGACACTCAGTGCCCACGATTTCTACATTGTTGGAGGCAGTGAGGTGGATTTGGGCAGGTCTAAGGAACATAAAATACTTGGTAGTGAGACTGCTCGCGGAGGATTGAAACAAACTGTCTCTGTAGTTTAAGCTTGGTGCATTGGATCTTCTTTAACGAAGCTGCTCACGCTCCAACTATGGGAGTCCAGATTGTACCCGGAATGCTAAACCTCATATTTGGCTCCAGCAACTATTAAAAAAGACGAAGGTACTGTCGGAAACTATCGACGGAAACATAGCCGTACTGTTTATTTGAAGAACATCATGGAGCCTCGTGGATAAGACAATGCATAAGGCTTGGTTCGAGAAAACTTTCTGATACAAGTCATCCTCTTTCTCGTGCACAGTCTGCGTGTGTATCAACATCCTTAACCAGAGAAAAATGCAGATACATTGTCGGCTGCACACGGACTTACCACTCATCGGTTAGTCCATATCTGGCACGTTTTTTGTGTGATTAGACATCGGATGTCCTGGAGCTTAAAACAACTGTACATCGTAACCCTACTGCTGTTTAGGCTACTTATTACTCTACTTGCATACTTACCGTTTTATTTCTTTTACTATGCTGAAGTCGTTTGTATAATAGGTGAATACTCTCATGGGTGCATAAAGCATTTTTTTGAATTGAAATAGAAAAACTGGTCCATGATGCAGGAGAAAATAGTAAATTGTCGGGAGACGCAAGGCGCATTTGGCAGCACAGACAGATGTACATCAGTAGTGAGATTTCCAGCTACTGATTATGTATATATATATATATATATATGGGGCATTATATATATATATTTATATATATATATATACGCCCCATGCTGAGGATGATGTTGCATTCATGATGCTTCTTCACCGCAGTTGGGCTAAACCAACTTATACTTAAACTAGATCTTTTTTATGTGGATAAAATTCGTTACATTTTACTTGGTTTGTTCTGCGTACTTGATAATCTTCTCCCAACTTGCACACGTCGCTCATGCAGATTGTGGTAAACTTGCGTAATTGTATCGTGTGGTATTTTTTAAATAACTCGGACATTTTGTACTTATCACGTATTTACCTTTAACCAATTTCTTCTATATGCTCATTTAGCGAGTATTTATGTCGTCATATGCGTTTACTTTATTCGATATGGGCATTTTGAGTGATTGGCTGTTATTTGACATCCCAGGTGTGGCTGCGTTTGAAGTGCATGTTGACAAGGTGCCAACCTGTCTATTACCTACTACCTCGTCAATACTGGCTCCAGGAGACAGTTGGTCGTTGCTGGAGGGGACGGGGTGCACGGTGTAGGACTAGTTAATACTAGTCCGAGACGATGCGCGTAATTAAGCGCGGATATCAGAAGGCAATGGGAGTCGGACACAGCGGACTGTATTCGATGGGCTAGAACAAGAAACGGACGGATGAAGCGAGGCAAGAGCGTACACGTGAGCGCGGGGACTTACAAGGCAGTTGTGTGTCGAGCCGGTTGTAAGATTAAAACAAGAAGGAGTAATGTACAATCGATCAACAAGTAAATTGTACACGAAAGATAAGAGTTATCTTTTTGGGCGCTACAACGGTCTTTGTGGCCGTGTTAGGCTCGAAGAGTGGTTCCGTGCACTCAGTGTGGAGCGGACTACGGTCCAGCCACCGCCTTGTGTGCACTTGATTCCCAAATACAGCGTGCTTGTGTTTACCTGTGAAGGAGTGTGGGCCGGCTCCGTTGATGAAAAGTGGCTCCCAACCGCGTGCCTGCCGGTCTTATTCCTTCGGGTTTACACTGGATATGGGGTATGTGGTTGGAGCTGTGGGTGGTGCAGCGCAAGCCACCTATGGTCGTTCTGTAGGCGCAGGCGTCCTGTGGCTGTCCACAGTGACAGGCAAATCCGAACCCGGATGCCGCTAACCATAGCATTTCGAACGAAGACGGCTATGCTGAACAGGCCTGGTATATCGGATGTTTACGCTTTGTGATTCCGAGATGAGTTGGTTTAGTGTGGCTGCAGGTTTCTGCTTTTTACAAATGCTAGTGATGTGGGGACAAATTCGTCAAATATAAAAGTAGCAATTCGAGTTGGATAGTAGAAGTTGGTGGGTGGAGAGACGCTTTTAACATGTTTAGCAGGCTGCTATTTTATTTGTCATTCCATCGTTGACTGGCGCGATTACTGTGACTCGTTTGACCAATGATCCCTGAAGCAATCGTGGTGGCTGACTTTCAGCTGCCGGACGTCCACACCATCATGATTCTTCCGGGTGTAGCGTACGTTTTTTGGTAAACGTTTTGGTACGTTTTTTTGGTAAACCGTTATGAGATACCCCTGCAAAAGCCGATATCGACTGCTGTACATTCTTAGAGATTTCAGTCTAAGCTGATATGGCAAATGAAAGAGGCCCCTGACGATCTTGGTTGCCCTTCGTTGAGGAGTCTCGAGAGCAACAAGATCCTGTTTCTGTCACGGCTGCCACACCTGGATAGCATATTCCACGTAAGGTCGCACGTAGGCTTTAAGCATTTAGGGAAAAATTGAGGGTTCAAACCGACCGAATACTCTGCGAAGAAGCTCGAAGTGTTGATTTCCGGTTCTCCTCGCCTTCTCTGCTTGTTTTGAACACCCAAGATCTTCCTGTACCAATACACCCAGGTCACGCTCATGAGAAACCTTTGCCAAGGTGTGGTCTCCAATCTTGTAAGCGCTCACCAGCTGGTGACGTAGATGCATCACTTTGCACTTAGCCATGTTCAATTGAAGCTTGTTACTCTTTGACCATTCGTAAATGCAATCTAGGTCATGTTGGAGCAGATCCTGATCTGCCTTGTTACTAATCGCCCGCCATATCTTGACGTCATCGGCGAAAAGCAGGAAGTTTGAGGAGATGACTCTTGCCAGGTCGTTGATAAACACCAGGAATAAGCGCGGTCCCAGCACTGAGCCTTGTGGGACACCACATTCCACCTCAATTGGGTTAGAAAGTGATCCCCTAACACGTACTTGGAGTTTTCGTTGGTAAAGGAAGTTGCCAATCCAACCAAGTACTGGATCTCCGATTCCGTAACTTTGTAGTCTTTGAAGTAGGATGCGGTGATCAAGGCGGTCGAAAGCTTTGGAGAAGTCCAGATAGATGACATCGACTCCGACCCCATCATCAGTCCCTTCCGCCCAACTACCTCGCGCCATCAGTAGGTTGGTGGTGCATGGCCGGTGTTGACGGAAACCATGCTGCTCCGGTACCAAGATGTTGCATTTCTCCAGGTAGTCCATTTAAGCCTCAGCGACGACTGCTTCCATCACCTTCGCGAGCACAGGGAGGAGAGTCACTGGGAGATAGTTTGCAGGATCTGAACGGGTACCGCCTTTAAAAATTGGGGTGGTGATGCCACACTTCCACATAGTGGTGACTTGTTGTTCATCAAAGCACCTTTGAAAGAACTGTGACAGTAGTTCAGCTAGCTTGTTGGCCATAGCCTTCAGTGCCTTCGGGCGGATGTTGTCTGCCTCGGAGAACTAGGCGCAAGCAGTGAGAGTAACTTCCTTAGCACAATTGATGGGTTAAAAATTGCATTTGTAAACAGTGGAGTCGGTAATGTGCATGACATTATGGGCTAGGTAGAGGCTGCGAGTTCGAAAATTAGGGCGTATTGTAGCCTCAAGGCATTAGCTGCTTCCTCGGCGCTTTGTACGCTACCGCCTGCCGTGAAAAGTGGAGGGATTCCATGCTTCACTTTAGGAAGCTTATTGACATGCCTATATAGCAGTTTAATGTTTGCCATGAAATTTTTGGCTGTGCACTGTTGCTAAGTTACTTTGTCCTCACGGACAAGTGCAGTGCAATGGTTGCGATGGGTCAGGAAATCACCCCAAGTCTCTGAGTCGGGGTTACTTTTGTAGACACGCCATGCAGCACCTATTATCTCCAGGCAATTTCGAGTCCTGCTCCTTAGAATTGAAGGAATTTTTTGCTGGACGAAGGGGCTTGGTCGCTGATGCTCTGCTGACGATGTCGCTGACTCCATTAACGAACTCTGTCCAAACGTTGTCAAGAGGGCTGTTGTTTGAGATTTACCGAGCAGCTGCGTCGGCGAGTTCTTTCAATACGTGGTAGCGGGTGATTGTACCAGTTAGTTCCGAGTGTTCAGATGAATGCTCTGCATAACACACATAGTTGAACATTATTACTACATGGCCACTTCGACCTAATGGACTATCCATCAATAACTTGTCAACCATGAGCTTTTCATCCGTGAGCACGAAGTCCAATTTGGACGGTTTGTTTGCTGTCCTGAATCTAGTGGGCGTGGTGACATGATTGTACAAGGGAATATTAGCGATCAGTTCATGCAAGTCTGCTTTGAACTGCTCACTGGGAGATACCGAAACCTCCATATCGTGTGGATTGAACTCCCCAGAGATGAGAATGTGCCTGTACCTAGTGCGTGTTACTCTGTTCGGGCCACGGAGCAAGCGGGAATCCATTTCCGGTGTGGACGTCGGGGAGCGGTAAACGACAGCTACGAGACATGCGTCGTTGTGTCTTAGTCGGAGACGGCACCAGAGGGAGTCGGTAACGTGTGTTTCCAGATCATCAACTATTGTACATTGTAGATCGCTGCGAGAGTAGAGTAGGACCCCCCATCCTCTGTTGGGGCGGTCGTTCCGGATGAGTGACATTCCGGCTATCTCAATCTCAGCATAAGTCACCGCATGGTATAACTAAGTTTCGGTAATAGAAATTAGGTCCCAAGCATTCGCAACCTGACCTAGTCGAAGTTCGGTAAGTTTACGGAGGATCCCTTGGGCGTTAGTGTACATACATGAATGTTTCTCAGATTTAAGCAATGTTTCGGAGGTTGTACAACTCATACGCGAAGTTTCGCTGACCAGTGATCGGCCGGCGACTAACCGTTTTTCGATGTTTCCTTGGTGAAGGGTTTAACATCCTATTCCTCGTCCGCGTAGTTGGTCCCGCATCCAAACTTCGACCTATAGTGTAAGGTGTCTGGTCAGTATCATCTTCTACAAGTTGTATGGACTGATTCGACACACTACTGGTGCATTGTTCTTTAACAGATCCCATCGCGTTTGGTTCTTTGAGTGACATATCATTTCTAGGAGGCATATCGCTGATTGTTTTCAGCCGAAACTCAGATGGTAACCTGCAACGGAACATGTGCCAGCTTTTTAGCATCCGTACAACCATACGTTTTGACTGAAGGACCACCTTCAACACTCTCGGGCCACTTACTCTGCAGTTCGGTGAGGTACGCAGTCGTGACACGGATTTCGCTAACACATCATCCAAGCAGAGTGTTTCACGAATAGAACACCACTGTTTTTTATCATGGGTTGTTACGTTATGCTCATCAAATGCTTCAGTTTCAGGAACCTGGGGAAGAAGTATGGTTCTGGTTGAAGTTTCCTTCCGGTAATCCTCTAAGTAGCGGTTAACTCGACAACGCTCGCCTCATGGGATGTCTGGAAAGATACGCATGGAGCAGTGTTCATTTCTGAGACTACTTGTTGACAGTAGTACTGATTCTACTTCAGTGATGGAGTTCAGCACAACGCGCAGAATTCTTGGCTCTCCGAAATGCTTAGAGTTGGGGTGTAGCGTAATACGCACTACGTGTAAATGTGTCAGTCCAACTCCGATTAGGTTACTAATAATATCCCACTGGTTGAGGTCATCCAACTGCCTGCCTCTTAGTGATGTCGAGTTTGATTGTGGGATATTGGAGCACAGTTTGTTCAGTACGGGTAGTTGTTCCTTTACATCTTTCGACGTGTCGCGGTTATTGATTGAAGTACTCGGAAATGTACCGCCGGAAACCGGTGGTGCTGGCTCTAGTAAAGCTCCGCTAAGCTCCTCGGTTTCCGATCCAGTTGGGGGTGACGTTAATTTTAAATGACGGTGCTTTTTGGAGGTAACCGTAACCCAACTTTCGCTAGTACCGGTTTGCTCTTTCACTACGCACTCCATCGGGAGTTTGGAAGTAGCCTTACGTGTAATTACTCCGATCGAACTGGGAACCGCATTAGTCAAATGTGGGCCACGTGTGGTATTGGGACAGCTGTTGATGTTCTGGACTTTAGGTGTCGTGTTGCTTACGGTGTTAATAGCAGTTCTTTGCGGGATAAGAGCAGCAACCAAGGGGGAGGATTGGGTTGCATAGTCCGCTATGCTTACCCCAACCCCAGTGATTTTGGTGGTCACCATTTCCTCAAACTTGGCTAGAAGCTGGTCATATTTCTGAGATAATAGGATCACGCATTTTATCAGTGGGATCGATGTGCTTTCCACCAGAACCATAGCGAGTCTGCTTTGTGTAATAACTTGGCCTGACTAGGTTTAACTCGGACGCATCTCGCATGGAAAAGCTTGCAACAGTTAAGGTACAAAATGCCCCGCTTAACAAGTTTGGAACATGATCCACATAGGTCTTTAGTCTGTGGCACACTGGGCATCGCGCTTGTTGAGCAAATGTTACGAACCATTTGAATGACTCACCCTCTATGGTACAAAGTTGTTCTGTTCCTGACGTTGTCGGTAAGGTCACAGTGTTCACGTTGCAGTTGTGTGCTTGCAGACTGTCCTCTCTGGCGTGCCAGTCGAATGTGTCAGCTTGAACGTGGGGCAGAATACACGAAGATGTGATTGAGAATTTTCGTGGTTAAGCCTATAGATCGCGCCGGGTGAATTTGCCTTGAGACCTGTAGCTGCACCAAGCAATGTTGGATTTGAACGAGTGACAGTTCGTTCGAAAGCCGTTGAAATGGTCTATCAAGTGAGACCAACCAGTGTCTCCGATGATTGGAGTTAGGCAACATTTGGCGCTTGGATATCGGCGAAACACTGCCCGGAATTTAGAATTCAGGGTAAATGTAGGATGCACTGGAGTATACTCGGGAAACTGGTATTACAAAGTAGAGCTTGTAAAAGCACGACGAATAAGTATGGATCTAAAGGTGTAGGACAAAATATCGCTGAACCACAGTTAAAAAACCACGAGCGCACAAGTGAGCGATTAGCACGCAAGTTCGCTCAAGGTCACGAACTTAAAAGTTGGTAGTCGACTTATTGCCAAGGATGATTGGCCAATCTATACAGCAGCAGAGGTGCGGTTTGGTCGCTTGTTTGGTAATGGAACAGTGGAGCCTCCTTATCAGTTTAGCTCCAGTATGCTAACATGTTTTTCCGTCTCATATACCTAAGCGAACTGATTCAAGTTGTTCGAACCTTACGTGCCCCGATGACAGCCCGGTTTTTGTGTTTTCTTTACAGTATCAGAAGAGAGCTGAAATACAAGTAAGGAGAGTGGTTTCTATTTTTGTTACAGTATATAAATGAAACTGCTTCTGTCAAAAGCTTAACTACTAGCTGTTGCAAATAAAAAACCAGTTCGCGTTCCAATCTTCCTATGGTGTAAAATATAAGCATTGCTGTTTTACCGTCATTCATCTGCATGGTTATTCGTAAATTGTTAGAAAGACAATCTCTACTGAGCGTCTGATCGAAAGCCGTCGTGGACAGACGATGCTATTCTTTGTCAAACTGCAATCGGGTGGTAAAATTATTTGAGTTCGATTAATAGTGTTTCTGTGTATATCAAAGTGTTTGCAGCAAAGTGTATGAAGCCAATGTGAGGTGAACTCGGAATCCAGTGACCGATTCTGCCATCCGGGAACTGTAGGCAGACGCGTACAGACAGCTGCGACCATAGGAGTTAAATGTGCTGCTGAACACACACATTTATCTGCAGATGGTTCTCCCACGGTACGTACAACAGTGAAATTGTTGAAAATCTTGACCGAAGTAAACGCAGCGCAGTGTGTCGGATGCCATTCCAGTGGTCAAACAGATTACAGTATATCGAAGTCCACTATTTGCGCTTGCAAAATGTAATTAAAACGCACAAATGACAGCGGTATGCGACTATATGCTTAACTAAGGGTGTGGCCAAATAAGCATGGGGTGCAAAATGAAGGACGGTAGTCGCATACCGGTTATTTTTAATGGTACTGAGGAGACAATAAGGAATGTATGCATTCACCAGCTTTCATGGTTTTATCACGCCGCAAATTTCTAAGAGGCACTTGCTGCTTTATACTATGGTTTCCGTCATTGTTACAAGGGCTTTACACACAACGCTCGTAGTAGTTTGTCGAAGGCGTCTACGAGCGGCCTTCGCGTCCCACTTTCCTACCGGAACACCTTATGGTTATAAAATAAAACTACACACAAGCAAAATAACCAGCATTAACAAGCATTTGTAGCTTCAGATTACGTATCTAGTTCCATTTACTTAAAATAATATTGCAAAACCCAGCGACAAGAACTGACTAGCTTGCTTGCACGACCGGTCAGGAAATGCAAACTGATGCTGGGCACTTCCTTTGAACTGCATAACCTTTTTTCTCAGTAGGCGATGGAAACCCGTTGTATATAAAAAAAACGAAGATAATGGTTTTTGATAGCTCTGTTGAGGCTTGTAAGGTATGGCTGTTTGTAGTGAGAAAATATTAAAATTTTGATTCGGAAGGAAATACTCACTTGCCAGGCTGTTACACAACATGGCCACTATCTCGTTTTCTGCTGGATCTTTTATACTAAAAGTTAGTCGTATAAACTATAAGAACAAAATAAACTCCACATGAGGAATGTTCATCTCTTTCAGATACTTTCGGTTTATAGCATTCCCGAAGTGCTGTTGAATCCAACCATGCAGTTTTACCATTATTTTTATGCACAGTACATACCTAACTGTATGGTCCATCTTTGATCGCAATACAGTCTCCACCATTAGCGCCTCCTAACAGAATCATTCACCCAAAAAGTGCTTCTAGTGGCAGAAGTGATAAAGTTTGAGACAGCTTCTCCAGTTGATCGTACTCTTGACCTTTGTTTAGAAGTATCGGTTGCTTTAAATATAGCAATTTGGAATACACTCGGTAATGAAAATGATTACAAAACGGTTTCCACTTAAATAGAGCCCACCACACCGGTACCATGGTTCAGTGTCTTTCGACTTGTATGGTGAAGTCAGAACGGCGATAGTAAAATCTTGACTGTTCGTGTAAGCTAGATAATCACTTAGTCAAACGAGTACGCGTTTATTTTTCACAGTGTTATCTTGGATCTAAACTTTTGGAATCAACCCGAAGCCCATCACCCTTCGGTCACCCGACAAGATACGCTTCGCACATCGGAGTCGAGCGAAGTCACACCGCGTCGTCTATGAGGCTTTTTCCAACTATACCCGTGCAAGTAAGCAGCGGAACTACCTAATACCAGGACATTGTCCATCAGCTTAGGTACCTTTAATGCCAAAATATGCACAACACTATTTACATGCATTTTTTATGTCATGGGTAAGAATCCGACCGGAATCGGTGAGTACACGCAAGTGACGAGTCCCAATAGGACGAAACGGCCGTCTAGCGCCTTCCTGGATGCGTGGTGGCTGTCTGTCTGGGTCTGGCTATTCCGAACCTTCTCCAAAACCCAATAAATGCTCCTACTGCTTACAAATAATCGGTAACCGCCCTAGAAGCTTACATGCCACTTCGATTGGCGGTGGCTTTCAAAGAAGTCGTGGCTCTAGGAGCCAGCACTGTCTTCGGCACGTTCACATGCATGACAGTGGAGAATAAGCGGCGCTAAATCGCAGTTAGGTGGCATTCATGGCAGTACGCTGCGATCACTCGTGGCTCAGTGGAGTAAGTCGCTGGCTGGTAGGAGTAAGGTCGTGGGTTCGAATCCAGAAGAATTCGGAGGATACGCGATACTGACGAGTCCAAATAGGACGCAACGACTGTCTGACACTTTCCCGGATGTGTGGTGGCTGTCTGCCTGAGTCTAGCTGCGACGAATCTTCTCCAACACCCAATAAATTCCTCTACCACTTACTTGAAATGATTGGATCCTAAACTCTGTGTCGATACTTTTTCGCGGTCGTATTGCGCATCGGATAACTCTCTTCCGCAACGCTGCACATGAGACGGATAGATAATCTTATTAAAGTATTGGCTAAGTAAACTATCCCTTTACAACTAGCACTTTGCAAGTAATGAATTTAAACCGGTTGCATCACAAATGGTCTTGCTCATACAGCCATGCATCAACCAACGTGCAAATGTAGCCAACACTGCAACTTGCTGGAAGTATTCCATTAGCCTTCTATTTTTATCTCAACCACGCAACTGTACGCAACCAATTAGAGTACAAAGCAAGCCAGAATAGCGTGCTGTTCAACGCATATCTGTCTTAAAATGTTCAACATGTGATCTGAGCTAATACCTCACCACATGTTCTTGATCGCTTTTGCAAGCAACTACAGATCATTGTGAGGATTTGTGATGACTAATTAGTGCAATTCTGCTGAACCCAATGCATGAACTATTTCTTGGGGTCTAACTATGCGCCACCGCTCAGAAAATATTGGGAAGTTAGGGTTAAGCTCATGAACCCGTATGTTAGCTTATTTCGCAGTGAAATGAAACTTATCCCAAGCAGATTAAATTTGGTGTATTTTGCACGATGTCCGAAATGCTGCTTAGAAACTATGACTAACTTACTCTCCAAAACAAGTATTGGCACAACTTTTTCCCTAATCGCGATCAGCATTCAGATATGGTCCCATCGCTTGGACTGCCGGTGGCCTATGTTAGACAAAGCTTCATTTACACACACAAACCAGCATCTGGAAGGCTCACAATATATCTGTTCCAGTGTAATAAACGTTGCGCTCAGAGCTCCTTGCGCTATTGGTGAAGTCGTTTAAGGATCACCTATGCTCCTGGTATTCGAGTCCCAGTTCCGAATACTGCTCACGTTTTGCAGAGTTGGAAACCATACATACTGAAAAATCGTGCTTGGATAGCGTGCGCAGCTCCATCGGTAACTAACTTTCTCGATATTCACCGGCACCAAATTCTCCAGACAAATGTTCCCACCCCCCCCCATCCACCTCCAACTGACGCCTCCAGAAGGGAATAAACCAAGCAAATACGAACAGTCTGAAGGGTAGTTGGTCCTCCATCGAAATGATTCTGTAACATATTCTGCTAAACGTAGCTAGTGTCCACAAAATTCACTGCCATGTTTTTCTTAACCGCGGCAAAACTTCAAGTTTACACAGTCCAGGTCTAATTTGAAATCCCATTAAATCCCACTGGCGATGCACTGAAGGGTTTGTTCTGAATCACAGGCTGTGACGAATCCGGAGATTTTCTCGGCAACTGTGCATTCGAAGATGCGATAAAAATTCCCCTAACCACAGTTCAGACTCTTCGATAATGAACATTCCACACTTTCACACTTTTGTGCGGCGCTCACTTTTCATTTACCGCATGAAAAGTAATCCACCTTGTGAGTCCTGCGTCACGCTTTCTGATTACCACACCGCCAATGTCATCACTCTGACTGAAAACTTATGCATTATAACAACACCGTCTATAACTAATGAGTTCTACAGAGTACAGAACGATTTCATTGAGACTACGTTATACACTATCAGATTTGGAGCTATGCATTAGGGATTAGGACGGGTTGAAAAATTATCCTGGTTCGGCTGTTCAGAAATATGACGCAGTAAACAAACTATAGGCGTTATCTATTCACTCGCGGAATCAATCGCAGAAACTGCTAACTTCCTGGCTGTGGTATACGATACGTCAACCTCTATTAAGATAAGCGAAAGGTGAGAGTTAAACTCGTTTCGGGTGCACCCAATTGGGCCGCCATTGAACATCAGACAAAGAACTGGAAGACTATTGAATACTGAAAGTAGAGAACTTGAAGATAAAAATCTATGTTGTCTCAATTGATACATTAGCGGAAACGCACGTGGAATAATGTCATTTATTACTGCACTTTGCCAACATGCTTCTGTTGTGCGAAGTCCTGTTCAGCTACGATGCGGTCACCAAATATGTGATCCACAAGATGGGCGTCTAAGTAGTTTCTGAATTCTGACACCGAGTTCGACTCGGCTATTGCCTTGGGCAAGCTGCTCCAATATTTCCCAGGCTGAAGCATAGTAGGTGAGCTACCCGCTTCATTTCCTGTGCTACACGTTTGCCTCGGTACCTGCGAGTACTTCTTGGTTCGCGTCCGTGCAGTAGTGTCCCCAAGATAAGGAAGTCACCCATACGGAATATCCAGTGCGTCATAATGTGGCCCACTCGCAACCGACGATACGACAGTGTTCAACCCCAGTCATCTGGATCAGTCTACGTACGGCACACTCAGTAAAGTGGGAACGAGCACAGCAGCTAGTTGCTGAACACACTCCATTTTATGACCTTCACCACGGCGGGTGAGGCGTACTTCATCAAAGATCTTACGGTAGCAAGAAGAAGGCAGCAAGCATTATTACACGCGATCACGGTTAACCAAGCTGTTACGCATGCGCACATATATCGCTCATGTTTCCGTCCCACGACGCAGCATACGTGGGGAATTACTGCATGTCATACTGGTGCGCCGTTTCTCCACAACTTTAGGGGAGGGGGGTTGGCTGGATGTCTGACCACGTATCTTCACCGTAACTCACGTTCTGACCAACCTGGAATTGTTCCAATGCTCTTGAGTTACTTGATCGCGGTTGCGTTATTCGGCTTGGGGTTACTCCTGGATGCAACCACGAAGGCGTTTCTGTCTGATTTGTTGGCTTTCGGCAAATAGCTTCTCTGTTCTCCTTAGTACAGGCCCGTTATCGTTCGTCGCGCGCGATCCGCTCGCCGCTCGTTCTGTGGGACTTGTGTGTGCACCGTTCGATCTTGTCCAAGACGCCTGTGCCAGTGTTTGTCCTCGCTCGTTCTTCTGGCTTCCCATTCTTCCGCGTGATTGTTACCTTCCGCGCCACTACATTATGATGGTAGAGAAGAGTCGAACACCAACTTCTTCACACCAAATGCGGAGACTGCGTTTGAGCACCAAAAACTTGAGCGGTCCTTTTCCATCTAGTCTGTTGATATTGTCCACGGACTTCCAATCGCAGAGTGAGAGTACGTCTAAGTTTACCAACAGACAGACATGTGCAGCCCACGTAGAGAGGCGGTCCAGGACATGTCAAAAATAGCTGCAGCCGTCGGGAGCATCAAGTACACTCCAAGTATTCCTGTCGTCTGCAAAATGGGCGCAAGTAGGCCGAAGGAGCAGATGCAGATACTTGATGTGGATGAGGAACAAACAGGGATGTAGTACTGTGCATTGGGTAGGCCAATAGTGAATAATGTATTGTGGAGCGAGTAGAGATGAGTTATATACAACTCTTTCGAAATATGGCGAAAAACGTTATAATAATTGTCACTGGTGGATATCGTTCTCGTTCCCGTGTAACATTTAAAATATTTGACTCATAGTATTGCAAGACTCACAAAGGTGAGATGTCATCATAAGTGTGCAACCGTTCTGTGAATCAAATAGTGGTAAAATAAAAATCCAACAACGTTTTTGAACTGCTGTACAGATGTGGCCACCATCATCTGTTCAGGCAAACTGTTCTAAATATTTACCACTCTCTGTCAGAAGCACATTGGGGGGGGGGAGGGAACTCGCTTCAAATCCTGCACCACCAATTTGTGTCTGCATCCGCGTGTCCTGCATGAGCCTCGTAATCGCAGCATTGGCCTCAGAATGAGGAATTCACCCGGATGAAGAGTACGGTAAGTCATAACGAGGTCAACTAGCACCCGACGGCAGGACAAGGTGTAGAATCCTAGTTTCTCGCACCGGTCTTCATACCTCAAGCCAGGTAACCTCGGGATGAGCCTGGTAACAACATGTTGGATCCGTCCGATCTTTTGTGCCTCGCCTCAGGTAATCGGAAAGTAGGCGGGCGAACGCTGCTCTATCATTGGTCTAATGATGGAAGGGAAGAGGTGAGTGACAACCTCTTCAGACCAAGTGCCGAAGCTATAATTGGGCGCCTAAAGCACGCGCTGTTCCTTACGATATAGCCTGTTCGTGTTGTCCACGGACTTCAACTAGCAGCGCGAGACTACACCTAGATCCTTCACGGAGGGTGCGGGATATAGCGATTGACCGTCAAGGGTGAAGGTTCGGCCGTCAGCCCCTTCCCCCAGACTTGGCGGGGTTGACCGGGAGATGAACTGTTGCAGACCATGTGGATAGGCGGTTGAGGCCTTACTGAAGTAGGCCACAGTCCTCTGGTGCGTCAATTTCTCTCCAGACATTCAGGTCGTCCAAAAACAAGTCACACAGCGACCAGAAAAGCTGAGGTAGATCGGTGCTTTAAGTCA